GACTTCTACACAGAAGGATGTTTAAATGGTGGTGAGCAATAAGAATCCATTTTAAATCCTTCTTTTTCATTTTTAAATGTTTCAGTTTGGATCTTTATAAAGTGGAACGGCAATGCTTAGGTCTAAATTCATCCTTATTGTGACTCCACAAGCCCCTCCCCTTTTGCGAGGCATGTCTAAAATCAACTCATTTTGATGCTGTCTCTTTAAGTCCAAACAAGGCAAAACATGCCCCGCCCCCTTCCAGCTTCTAGAGCGGTCCTTTCTAGTWTGATAGAGGAGTTTATGACAATATAGMGGTGCAGAAACGTTTYATTGACATAWTGAAGATGACRAAATTGTAGCCGGTAAGTCCAGACCTTATTTTGCAGCTCTGTCTCAAATACTGTGACTGAWACTGAATGACAMAAACAGAATATAAAGAAATCTCTGCAGCACTGGGAGAAACTAATTCAACTTTTCTGCACTCCTAGAGACTCCAAGTACACAGCAAAATGTGTTTAATGGCTAAAAAAGTGGATTTTGCAGGATATGTTGCCTTTTAAGAGAGTTTTCATGGTTTCTCATAAATAGTCCAAATCATGCTGCCACATCTGCACACTGATATTGTGACAGAAAATAACAGTGCCTGTCTGTGAAGAGGGTTGTTAGAGAAACCTCAGATGGTTGAGAGACTGCAGCGGTGCTGATTGTTGGGTTTTAGACCAGAGTCCAATCTTTATCTATTCTCATTAGTGGTAAAGTTTAGCTGTAGTTGCTCTGCAGGGCCGTTTTTGCCCTGTAACTACAAATTTGCAAGCTTCCCTGACATGACGAACCCTAAGAACCCCCTAACCCACTCGCCTCGCTTCGATTTGCGCTGCTGAGCACACACCCRGGAGGCCGGCAGCTGACCCGGTTCAGTACAGGTTGTTTATGACCAACGAGGAGCAGCTGAGGGCCCCTACGCTGTGCATTCTTTGCATCCCTGAGAATGCGGGTCCTGCAGTGCTGCTAATGGGCCCTATCCAAGATTCCCTCCACCGAATTTTATTTTTTWAATTTATTTTCCTGAAGATGTGGATCACTGCATCCTGTGATAGCAGATCTCCTGTTCCTGCAGAAGCTGTAACAGTGCTGTAAAATGTATAAAAACTAAACAAGTGTGCAGCAGTGGCTCAGACAGGTGAACAGAATCGGTTGATTTTTCAGCTCAGGTGGACGTTGAATGGTGGCTGACACTTAAATCTTTTTTTCTGATCCATTAATGCACCATCGTGGCTGTTCTATGCTACCAATGACATGCCTTTTGTGGATGCATCCTTCAAAGACCAAATTTGAAGTTTGATTACGTCACAYCAGTGCACCAAAGGCTGTCCAAACTTGAGGGCTCCTCCAATACAGAAATACAGAAATATTATTAAAAGTAAAACAAATAAAGTTTTACTCACTGATGAGTTTC